CATTCCTGGGTATTATCGCCCCAACTAAAAAGGGGAGCCTTTTCCAAGTCACAGACTGAATTTACCCATATTTGTGAGTTGCAAAGGTGTTTGCGGCCTCATCTATGAACGGGGCCTTCAGATGTCTCCAGTGGGCACCTTCCCTTGTTGCACAGATTAGTAGTTTGCACCCACGGAGCCGTATGCAACGTTTTACAGAATGAAGCAAACAAAAAACACAGTGGTGGAGCCCGGAAGCCAAGTAGAGTTGGCCACGGCCAGTGCTGACCACCAAAGACGACCCGGGTCTGCTATGCAGAGGAAGGCAACGGCAAACCACCTCTGCTCGTCTCTTGCCTTCACCAGGTGGGGAATTCATGGGGTCACCGTGAGTTGGCTGTGACTTGGCAGCGGACGTTACCTTTCCCTTACCACACACTTAGAAGTTCATAATTGAAATTTGGGCAGCGAGTGAGAGGATAAAAAAGAGGGAGCGGCCTCTCCCTCTTTCTCGATCTCTCCCCGTCTCCTAATAGGTCCGGGACAGATAAAGAAAATTGCTCCTTCGTGCAATACATAATCGTGCTTCAGAATTGACTGCCTCGAGCTGGAGAGCCGGCGGCTGGCTCAGTGGCCTTTACAGCAAATTCAGGGAGGATAGCCCGGGCTAGCCGGATCTCGTCAGATCTCGAAAGCTAAGCAGGGTCGGCCCTGGCTAGTGTTTGGATGGGAGACCTTCAAGGAATATCGGAGTCGTGACTCAAGAGGCAGGCAATGGGCAAACCACCTCTGAACGTCTCTGGCCTTGAACACCCTACGGGGGTCGCCGTAAGTCGGCTGTGACTTGGCAGCAACAACAAATACCCACTGATAGCTGTTAGCCGCAAGGTCTAAATCACAGAATCACAGAGTTGGAAGGGACCTCTGGGTTCATCTAGTCCAATCCCCTGCACAATGCAGGAAAATTCACAAATACCTCCCCCCCCACCCGGTGACCCCTGCTCCATGCCCAGAAAATGATCCCCGGCCAAACTGGCCTGGAGAAAAATGGCTTCCTGACCCCAAAGTGGCAGTCAGCATTTCCCTGGGTGAGTAAGAAAGGGCCACGAGAACAAAGCAACCCTTCCTGCCCCTCCCTCTCATGATGGAACCTTCATGTTCAGGAATAGAGTACCTCTGATTATTAGATGCTAGAAGCAACTGTGCAGAAGGGTTATTTATCTGTCTTCATGCCCTGCTTCTCGGCTTCCCGGAGCCACCTGGTTGGCCACCATGGGAGACGGGATGCTGGACTAGATGGACCCTTGCTCTGATCCAGCTGAGCTCTTTCCCACTTCTGTGGGTCCAGGTAACGTTAAAGAGTCTAGAGCTATGCATCCTTGTAAACTACAGGAAATTTTGGCCAATGTACATAAACGCTCCCTGACTAATATCTCCTTAAGTCATTGTCTTTACCTCCTCCAAAGCAAACAAGATTGTTTGCAGTGAGATGCGGAAGGAAGAACTCTGTTTTGAAAAAATCTTTGAACGAGGGCAACTCCTATAATTTATAGTGTTGCACCCCCCCCTTTTTTAGCAGGGGGAACCATAGCATTCAGAATCCTCTCAGACAAACCGTGTGCTTTTTGTTTGTCTTAAGAAACCACCTAGCAAAGTCCACCTCCTTCAAGACAATGATGATGAGGAGGAGGTGGTTGGATTTATACCCCCCCCCTTCGGTCAGAGTCTCAGAGCGGCTTACAAACGCCTTTCCCTTCCCCTCCCCACAACAGACACCCTGTGAGGGAGGTGGGGCTGAGAGAGCTCTGACAGAAACTGATATTTTCAAGA